CCTTACTGTTCCCTATCAAGGCTTATTTGAATGGTTTTGGGATTCTCCAGAGTCCTGGGGCAACAATGACATCTTTTTAAAAAAGGACCCCAAACTTCAGCTCTTCATGTCAACTTTAAAAAATGCCCGGGACGCTGACTGTGGACGTTAACTCTACACATTAAAAACATTTGCCTTGCCTCCCTCTCCTGAAGGACCCACCTGACCAATCAAGAGCAGTGGGGTGTGTTTTAAGGGTCAGTATTTCAAAACCATTGCGTTTCACTCTCTGCCTTAAAAAACTGTAGTCTCCTTTAAGGGCTTCCTCTTAGCCATTTACTCCTTGGTGACTAACGGGGAAATGGCACGAGGTAGTAAGATCACAAGTGGCATTAACGCAATGCAAAAATGCTGCCCAAAGCATGTTTTATATAACTGCAAATAAAAATGCTACCAAACAAACCTGCTGCATCTCGTATTTTAACCTCTGCCACTTAAAGCAGGAGTCCTCGTTAAACTCCAAGCCTCCCAGGGCAGGAGGCTGGCCTTGCGGGGGGAAATGGCTCCCAAACCAGGAGGCCATGCGCATGAGCTAACCCTGGAAGGAAGTGGGCAGGCAGGAGGGAAGGGCAGAGGGCGGCCGCACACCCCGCCTCCTGAGAGGGCTGGGGCAGCAGTTCCCAGGTCCACCTCCTTTCTAACCTCCAGGTGCCAGAATACACATGTACTTTTACTTTCTTAAGAGAAAATGTGTCATTTGGTTTCCTTCCAGTTTATGTACTCTTGCCAGCAACTAAAAACGCTTAAAGAACCAAAAAGAATTACTACCCAGAAACAGTGGTCAAAGTTCCAAACTTTGATCAATAAAACTGCTCATCTACTCACAAATTAATCTGCAGCCAGTAAAGTCGCACATTTTCCAGGTTATGAGAACACCTGCACCGTGAAGCATTTATTTCACTCGTTCAAGCAATGTTCAGAAGTATATAAGTATTTATAAAAGAGAACCTACTATTTTTACCCACCTATGATTTTTTCCCCCCTAGCAAAACCTTGTTAATTCTTTCCCAGATCCGAAGCCTGCTGAAGGCAAGGTCTGTATCCTGGGTAGTTTCGTCTTCTGTATCCTGGATAGTTTCGGTGTACTAGCACCGGCACAACGACCAGGGCACTGTGGCTGTTCTGAAATGTCTAACAGGTTTAACTTCATTAACTCAGGCCATTCTGATTCTGAATTGATGACGGGGGCCAATTTTCAATTTTCATTTGGATCATTTGTTAAAAAATAAAAAAATATATTTTTTATTTTTGCAAAGTAAATTAACAGGTGAAATAATAGGCAATGGAGGTTACTAATTAGAGTAGGTCTCAGGAAGCTCTCTCCCCACCCCACAGCCATGCCCCTCTTCATTAACAAACCACGCTGTCACCCAAGAATGGGACCAGCTCAGATCTGGTGGAGAAGGCGATGCCAAGAACCCGGTCTGTCCCCACCACCCCTCCTCCCCCTGCAACCAGGCCATGGTGACGGTGTTCGCCTGCGGGAGCTGATGATCTCTGTCGAGTAACCACTTATAGCCTCCCTAACTTTCTCTCTTCTTTTGTTTGTATCATCAGCCTGTGAAACCAGAGAGCCTGCCAAACTGCACAGGGAAGTGTGAGCTGTGCTTAAAATATGAGCCGCAGTGTATGGGGGGATTTAGGTTCCTTCTTTCTTTTTCTCCTCTCCAAGCTATCAGCAGATCAAATCCTTTTCCCCTGTCAAGCCTTCCTCCATGCAGAAGATCTGAAATTTGCTAAAATAGGTCTCTCGGCACAGCTATAAAGGGTCCGGAGATCAGAGATGAACACTGCTCAGATGCCGGCTGAAATGCCCCGGCAAGGACGTGGCAGGTGGGAGAGATTTAAATGCCACAGTTCCTCCTCCCGTGAGTCGCCAGTCCACCTACGTATCTTCATAAAGAGAGCACAGGCCCTGTGGCCGAGGCGAGCGATATTTATGGAAGCGATGTTTATGGAAGGCTGGCCAAGAAACAAGCCTCTCTAAATTGCGGAATGCCCCTACCAGTTAGCTGAGGAGACGTCTAGCAATAGTCTAGGGGACACACACACACACCGGTGACCCAACCCTCCCTCCTTCCCCTGCCCATTCTTAAAGTGGATCTAAGTTCTCTGCGGGTCCACTCCACCACTTCAGGGTTCAGGAAGGACTCCAGATAATCTTCTCTAGTAAGATCAGCGTTCAAGGTTGCCCCTCTTGCTGGCTGTACACGACTGGGCCCTTGCAGCCGGTGACAGGGTTGGACACTGGCCTTGCTGAGGACCCTGAAGCTCTCCGCCCCACACTCTGCTCTGTGGATGGCAAGCAGCAGCCCCCCTCTCCCCGGAGGAAATCCCCCCAAACTGACTTCACATATTTAGCCCCTAGAGGAACTTTGTCCCTCTTGGAAAAGAAGTTACCTAAAAATGCCATATGTTTTTAAAAAGCAAGTCGGAGGGAATATAAATCTAGTATTAAAAAAAGTCAGAAATGCTCTCTGATACGGGGAGTGATATGATCAGCCAGATTGTGTGTTTCTTTTCAATCTCTAAGTGGAGCTCTCCAACGTGGAAGACGTTCCCCCCAATAGTATACTGTCATTTTCCCAGTGCACTTGAGGCCTGATAAACTCAACAGGACTCGTGGTATTTCTAAGGCCGGGAGAGCTCCCAAGAGGAAGGCAAAAGAATGGACGGTCATTTGAATCACTGAGTGACAGGCTGGGCCGGCTCCGTGTATACATTAATAAATTAGAATTTTAATTGCGCCTCTGTCTGCAGGAGATGGCCCGGTGCTTGAATATGTACCAACAATTGACTATGTTCTGGAATCCGCAGCTGCCCTCCACCGCTGACCTCTGAAACACAATTCCCAGTCTGACGACGGAAACTGTTCAATTTGATCCTTTCAACTTATTTGAATCCTGACAAATAAGCTCACAGCCGAAAGGTCAACACAGTCCTATTTCATCCTCTGGAGCTCTTCTTAAGACATGTGCACAACAAAGCACGTCCCCCAGCACCTGACACGGGCCCCGTGGCACCGCACCTCATTAAAACGTCCCCTGCACTCCCACGTGCGGGCAGGCTGCGGGCTGCCAAAGGTTTACTAAACAAGGCCTTCAGGAGGCTTCCGCCAACAGAGAAGCTGCAGCCAGACTCTTCCAGGAAGGTGTCCCCACGCCCTGCACCTTCCTGGAGAGCACAGCTGTCCCAGCGGAAAGAGGACTAGAGGACTAGAACCTGCAGCCCAAGGTCCAGTGTTTGGAAATGGACCTCAGCTCATCCTGACCCACGAAAATTCAACCCAAGCAAGAATTTAGGCGATCTCATGATCCAATGAACCGGCACCAAGGTAAGCCACCTGTCACCTCTTGTGCGTTCTGTTCCGACATCTCCAGGGTGAGAAACCTCCCATTTGGGGGTCCTTACCCTCAGCTCTGAAAGCACTGTCCAACACCTGGTTCCTGCCAGGGCCCTATCCCAAGCACGGACACAAGCATCCCAAGTCAGGTTTCTTTGAAATTTTTGTTATAATTCTCACCTCCAACTCAAAAATCTAGATCAGATTTTTATGAGCTCTCTGCTTCCACTCCATTAACCCCTTGGCCTCAATACACTGAACTGAGAAGTTGCTAAAGTAATTTTGTGTGTGTGTGTGCTACTAGGGATAAACCCAGGGGTGCTCTACCACTGAGCTGCACACCTACCCCCAGCCCTTTTTATATTTTTTATTTTGAGACAGGCTCTCACCAAGTTGCCCAGGATAGCCTCAAGCTTACGATCCTCCTGCCGCAGCCTCCCAAAGCAGGCGTATGCCACTGGTGCCCGGTTAAAACAATCATTCTTGTCACCTTTGCATAAAATTGCTTTCCACCTTAAACAGATGATTCAGAAGTCCTCTAAAGACATCCAGAGAGGAGGGTGTGTCCATGCCATTACCAGGCACCACGCCCCGTGAGGGTGCTGGACACTGCTGACATTTTGGGCCAATAAATAATCTTGCGCTCTGTGGGGGGGGGGGCAATGCAGACCATTAATCAGGAGCCCTGGCCTGTACCGAAAAGAGGGGCCTCCAGGAAAAGCCACCTTTTTATACAATGGGACACAAAGCCAACGAGTGGAGAAGCAGGTGGAGGTTTCTGGAAGAACACCTGCAAGACTTCCCCTTCCTGGGTGTGGATTCCCAGGAAAGAAACTCAGCACATCACACACCTGCACCACACCTCCGCTGCAGCGCCAGCCAGACGCCCATCCACACCTGAGTGGGCAAAGGCGGGGTGTGTGCGTGTACGGTGTGTTCACACCTGTGTACGTGTGTGTGAAAGCACGGAATCCTGTCACTGCAGCTAAACGGATGAAACCAGGCACAGAGATAAATGTTGTTTTTCATTTGTGGAAAGAACAACAAAACAAGTTGAGCTGAAAGTGGACGGTGATTACTAGAGCCTGGGAAGGGCTAGAGGGTCATAAAAGAAGGGCGCTTGGATTGGGTCAGTACGTGCTCCGTTCTTACATGAATACACTGAACCCATCAATATGGGCAATTTATACATGTTAGTAAAACCACTGCTAGATGACCCCCACTGGCCACAGGGGCAGTAAAAAACCATGTCCCTCTGAGTACTACTGTGCTGGACATAAGGGGAATCACCCCCTTCCTAGTCTAGATGACCACGGCAGGGCAGGTCTGAGCACCATCAGCCGGTACTGCCACCCGAGCTCTGTCCTTACCAGCCCGACACCTGCAAATGCCCACCCTCCCGGCGCGTGGCCAGGGTAGCTCTTCTTGCTACCAAGAACGACCCTTTTGCTCAACTCGACACTTTCCATGTGAGGTCACGCTCTGCTGGCGCACTGAGAGCTCACCGTCCGCAGAGGCTCTTGTTTCACGATCAGCAATTCTCAACGCGGTTCCCTTCTGAATTGCCCAGGAGCCGCCCAGAGGGTGCTGTGCCCATGAGGTGAAGCAGGAGACTTACCTGAAGGGCCGGCTGCTTGTCATTCCTCTTGGGAGACTTTAGTCCACTAACTTGCTGCTGCTGCTGTTGCTGCTGCTGCAGGAGCTGTCTGGCCACTTGTAGAGCCTGCGAGAGGGGACAAGAACACACCCGTCAGGACACAGGACCGGGACTGCCGCACAGAAGGGTCCGGGAAGCCTACTCCAGGGCTGGCCCTGCCTTTCCCGTTTCCAGGCACAGGAAATGGCAGACGACACCTCCCTCCCGTCTGTGCTGAGAACTTTCCAGAGCCTGTTTCCAGGTTCTTGCACTGGGCCAGTTTCACCCACAGCCCCCAAGCCCAGTGACCCAGTAAGCGGACGCTTTATCCCACCCCAAACCTGCTACAACGCTTGAAGTACGAGTGGCCAGCTCCTGAGGAACCTAGCAGGCAAAGACGGAAAGTTAGGAGAGCTATTGGGGGCACGTGGGCGGCACCACTGTCTTCCCAGATTCTCTGGTGGAACTTGGGGACACTTGGGAACGCAGGTTGAAAGTGACACGTTCACTCCATGAGGCCAGAGGAAGAGGGAAGTGGGATGACAGGAAAAGCGTGTCCCGTGGACACGGTCGTTTGGATGGGGTGACGGGGACTGGCCAGGCATTCCTAGGACAATCTCACTGGATGTCAGGAGAGAAAACCTGCAAATTCACCTCCAGCCACCTCAACCCAACGTCTACATCACCCTTTCAAGTGTATAACAGGGGACAGTTTCAATTTAAAGGCAGAGTCAGGGAGGTGGCCTGAGCACAGGGTCAGGTAAAAGGACAGTGGGAGAGTTCTGTAAGGGGAGCCACTTAGGGCAAGCCGATGTTTTTTATAAAAGCTCAAGTGAAATAAGTGTCATTATCGAACCATCACAAAGATATTTGCTGTCAAAGACTTAAGAACAGCTGGCAGCTGGATCAGCGCACAAAACCGAGGTGGGTGAGCAGGCGCTGTGCTGCAAATTCCCACCCAAAGGCAGCTTCTCCGGCGGAGCCAGCTGCGAACCAAGAATGGAGTCGTGGAGGGGACGTCCCAACTGAGGAGTGCAGAGAGAAAACAGGGTCCCCGGAGGGTCCCATCAGAGCGACTTCTCCCCGGCAATGACTCTGGTTCCCCTGGAAGAGGCACTTCTAGAGCCGGCCACGGCCTGAACAAGGTGTGGCCCAGGCTCCCAAAGTGAGCACAAAGCACTTCCAAGGGAAGCGGGTTCCTCAAAGAAGAGGAGTCACTTCACGGGTGGTGAGAACCACGTGTCCAGGTATAGGAAGTCTAATGGTAAAGACGAAGTCACGGAGGGTTAGGTGGCAGGGATTCCTGCACACTGGGCACAGGAAACAGGGTGGTCAAGGGCAATTGTCCTCAGGAGCAGGTGCTGAGGAAGGCTGGACCTTCACGAGCAGTTCTTTCAAGAAGACATGCTCATGACGGGCACAGTGGCGCACACTTATAATCCCAGTAGCTTGGGAGGCTGAGGCAGAAGGATTACAAGTTTAAGGCCAGCCTCAGCAACTCAGTCTCAAAATAAAAAATAAAGGGGGCTGGTTCAATTTCTGGTTACCCCCCCCCCCCCAAAAAAAGACACACTAACCCAGGCTCCTCGTGGCACAACTGTATTGAGCCTCTTAAAGGCACTGTGTAAGGCTGAGGGCAGCCTCTGTATCTCAGAGGCGCAAAGGAAGGTGTAGAAACAGAGCACAGGAAAGCATGATAAGAGCCTGAGACGCTGGGGGAGAAGTCCCTGTGGGGCCCACGCCTGCCCACACGCACACTGCACTCACCCCTGAAGCCCACCAGCTGCAGGCCCAGGCTCCCTCTCTGTGCAGGGACAGGCACAGTTGAGCAGGCCTGCCTGTGAGGGCCACATGTACTCCAAGATGCCTGGGAGCCCTGCCTGGGCCCCAGCCTGCCGTCTGCGAGGAAGCTCCACCACGGCCGGACCCCGGGTTCCCCGTCTCCTTGGAGACGCTCAGTACACGCGTAGGTGTAAAGTGGGCAGCGTGAAGATTTCATTTATATCCCCTGTGCAAGGTGCCTGCGGGAGCAGAGCCCCTCCTACACGTGTGTCCCCTGGACGCCTTCACACGGGGCTTTGGGGCTTCTTCAAGCAGGAAGGGAACTGCTCGGTGTCTTAAGTGCTACCATCAGAGTCCCCGCGTTAAGAGACTCAGCGGCAGAGAAGGCTCCAGCTGGATCTGGGAAGGCAGACGGTGGGCGCGGAGCTGGCGGGAGAGGTGGACAGAGGAACGCTGGGGGGAAGATGGGCCATGCGGGGCCACCAGCAGGGAGAGCAGGACAGGACACCCTGCCCCCCCTGGCGGACACCACCTGCCCCCTGTCACCCGATCCTGGAGAACAGGTGCTCGGCTTTTAAGTAACAAGCCTCACGGTAGCCATACCCAGCCGTCAGCAAGCGGCAAGACTCCGGGTGTCTTTAAGGAAAACATCCACACATGCTGTGCTCCTGTAAGCACGTGCTCAGAAGGAAATGTGGAAAGATGGTGGCACACCTGAATCTGAGGTCATTTGAACCAGTGTTTACCAAGCTGGCCACATGGTGACTGTGCATGTCACATGAGGTGCTGGAATCCTCAGGCTTATTTTACTGGTTGGAGGGAAAATCAGAATCACTTATGGATGCCAGGTGTCTTCCAATCCCATCCCAGGGTCCAGGAACTTACAGCCACCTATCACAAGCCCCAGCTCCTACAGGTGGTTTCACACAGCCCAGCCGAGGAGCAGAGCCAAGCCCAGGCGCAGGGAGGGAAAGCGTTGAGGAACTGGAGTGGATGCGAGGGAAGGTTCAGCCACCCCGCTGGAGAGTGAGCGGCACCAGATGGAGATTGCAAACTGGCTGCCAGGGCTCCACGCATCCAACATGCAGCCAGATGAAGACCTTCAAAGATGTGGCCCCGGGAGACACCACTAGCACAGGAATGCATCGGAATCCTCACAGGTCACCCGCAGGGATTCCCGGACCCCGAGAGGGGCTCGTTACCAAAGTCGGAGCAAGGTAAAATACTAATGAACCCCCCAAATAAAAACCAACATAGACATCACCCAGGTCCCAACAAGAGGTTTTAAAATCCTATCGATTAGAACATACAACATGCTATGAAGTCACCGCTAAAGGGTGAGCACTAGTTTTCTGTACAAGGTAACTAGGATGATCTAGATTTAAATGGAAAGGGATACTCGGAGTTTCGGACTCAGGGTTATGTAGAGATCTCTGGCTCCATCACATGCAGGAAACCACGAGGCTCGTATCAACTTCACTGCAGATGGGGTCCCCAGGGCGACGCTCTTGGCTTGGTGCCCTTCCCTGACACCATCCCTCGACAGCCATGTCCATCCACACACGTGTCCAAGCAGACCCATGTCCTTCCACCTCGGACCCCACTGCCCCGCCCCAGAGAGCACTGGATCCCAGCAGAACCGGGCCGTGGCCTGGGACTGCTCTTCCCCATGGTGCCTCCATCATGGCCGGAAAGAGGAGTCCTAGGGCGCAGTGTTGAAGAGGAAAGAGGACACTCTGGGTACAGGATAATAAGTGTGTGGATCTGGTTTTGTGCATGGGAGAGAGAGGGAGAGAGAGGAGAAAGAGAAAGGAGGAGAAGGAGGCAGGAAGGAGGGAAGGGGAGCAGGAGGGGGGGCACGCAGGAGGACGTGAATGTAGGAAGAGACCCTCTTCCCAGCAGAAAGTGTCACCTCTGACTCAAGCTGCACACCCACAGCTGAGACAGGCCCAGGCCAGCTCTGGTGGTGCTTCCTGGTGAGATGAAACAATGCTGGGTTCAAGATGGACCTGACAAGCACCTGGCCCAGGGTAAGCTGCTCAGCCCTAGAGCCCTGGCCACTGGTTACAGTGGAGGGGGGCTCCAGGCTGTCACAGAGCAGGGTGACGACAAAACCCCACCCAAGAGCTGGCCGAGCATGTTCACATCCCTGTTCCTTCCACCAGCTAGATTAAAGGGTCTGTGAGCTAGCAGACCCAGGGACCCAGGGGTGGCAGGCAATGCCGCATTGCACCCCGGCTGGCCCTGTCCCCACCCATGCCTGATCAGATCATCCCCAGGGGTCAGCAGGCTTCGCCATGGCTGCTTCTGGGAATTCAGGGAGCCTGTGAGGTCTGGCAGCTCGTGCCCACCTCCTGGGACCCTGGGCACTCGGGGGACACGTTCCCTTCCTCCAGCTCCACCAGGACGGCTTCCCTCTCTGCTACGTCACTCCACCCGAGGTAACTAAGGGCCACCTGTGCTGCACACACTGTTCAGGTAGCACATTTACCACTTTTGAGCTATTTATGTCAAGTTCATGGCAGGTGCTTATATTTCAGGCCCAGGTAGCGCTACGTTTAGCACGTTTACCAAGGTGGCTGAGGCTCAGAAACATATTTCCCACCCCTGAAGAAACATTAGCAAGTTGACATAAAACACAGAGCACTCCCACACTCCCACGCGCACACAGCCAGCCCAAGGAGGAAGACACCTTCATCAAGGGTTTTGCTGGAAGAGACCCTCTTCCTAGCAGGAAGCATCACCTCTGGTGACAGGTCTGAGATGTGCCTTAACACATGAAGGTCTTTGGAAAACCACTAACTGGGACGTTGTCTATCACGGGTCAGCAAACGACAGCCCATAAACCCAGCCTGGGAGGGAAACACTGTGTTGACTTATTTAAATGCTTGGGAAGAGGTCAGAAGATGATTTGGTGACATGTGAAAATCACTTGGAATTTAAATTTCAGTAGCCACAAATAAAGTTTTATTAGAATACAGGCGAGGTCACTTAGGTCTGGCCTGCAGAGTGCTCTCTACAAAGACCGCAGGGCCCTCACACCTGAGATACGCCCCATGCAGCCACACAGGGAGAGCCTGCCAGCCCTGGCTAAGCTTGCTTCTCTACTCTGAAGGTGCCAGATTCACTGGGCAGAATTTTATTTTATTAGATATATATATATATATATATATATATATATATATACATCTGTGTATAATTGTACATGTATATATATAACATATAAATGTATCTACATGTATATATAAATATGTATTTATATAAATATACATATTTATCTATCTCACTATATAAATATGTATAAA